TTGGATTACTGGCTAATAAGCTATGTGTTGGATTACTGTCTAATAAGCTATGTGTTGGATTACTGGCTAATAAGCTATGTGTTGGATTACTGTCTAATAAGCTATGTGTTGGATTACTGTCTAATAAGTTATGTGTTGGATTACTGTCTAATAAGCTATGTGTTGGATTACTGGCTAATAAGCTATGTGTTGGATTACTGGCTAATAAGTTATGTGTTGGATTACTGGCTAATAAGCTATGTGTTGGATTACTGGCTAATAAGCTATGTGTTGGATTACTGTCTAATAAGTTATGTGTTGGATTACTGTCTAATAAGCTATGTGTTGGATTACTGTCTAATAAGTTATGTGTTGGATTACTATCTAATAAGCTATGTGTTGGATTACTGTCTAATAAGCTATGTGTTGGATTACTGTCTAATAAGCTATGTGTTGGATTACTGTCTAATAAGTTATGTGTTGGATTACTGTCTAATAAGCTATGTGTTGGATTACTGTCTAATAAGTTATGTGTTGGATTACTGTCTAATAAGCTATGTGTTGGATTACTGGCTAATACTGTCAAATTGGCACGAAGAATAATGCAGCACCTGTTTGATGTTCAGAAAAGTAAAATCACAAATAATATATATAACAAAGTGGTGTTTATATAAACACACGCACCTACCATCTTTATGTGTATTTAATAAATCTGAAAGAGCTGAGACCTAATAACTTATATATATAGGTGAATATTTATTGAGATAAAGCATGATTTTGTTTAAATTTGTTAAGCTTTGATTGAAAAGTATCACTAATAACTGAATAATCATATCAATATCTACTTAAAACCATCGTTACTCCTGTCTGCCCTACAAGTGAAACTAATTACACCCATTTCATCCAGGTCGATTAACATTTGAAGCCAATGGTGTAACATTATTTATATAACAAAAATAAGAGCTCTCAATATGTATCTAAAATGATGTCTTTATTTGATTTGTTATATGTAGAAGAAGTATTTATAGTTTCTCAGTCAACTGATTAACTGAATGTGCACAGACCCAATGTTGACTATAATTCCAGAGTTTGTAAGTGTATCTACATGAAATGTGGCAAGCTTTTAGTCAAATGTCCAGGTCTCTTGTAGAAAAAAAATATACATTTTACAAAAGTATTTGTACTCGAGTTATGTCTGTGAATTGACGAAGTCAGTTTGACTCAGATTCTCAAAAGTCAAAGTTCAAGGTGATGATTTGTCCATTGTTCAGTTGCATAACCTTTATAACCTACAAAATGCATATGTAAAGTTGTTGTTTTTTCAGTATATTGTATCTAGTATTTATTCTCCTCTGCCTTGAAGTGTCATTATATCAGAAATTTCAGATAGAACGAATAGTTAATAATTGTCACAAGAAATACATAATGCCATGTTGAATAGCACTTTGTAAAAGGTCATATCACATGCACTTTGACCCACACCTGTGTAAAAAAGGCTAATGCACCAGTAAATTCTTATAATTTTCTTCTAAAAACCTCTGTTGCGACATTTATATATGATTTAATTGTGATAAATTAAAGAATATGCTAACTGAATGATCAAAATGTTTGGGACAGATGTATCTTCATTTTGATACACTCTGTGCTAAAACCTTGGCAAGCCGACACCCATTTTCTGTCTTTTTGGAAAAAGTCTGATGAAAATGCTTTTCCCACTAAAAAGAAGTGAAATCACTGTTACATGTTCCATAAGTACATTGTTTTGTGGTTATTATTTACCACTTTTATGTTGCACCGTACTAAAACTTTGCAAGTAATAAAGCTTTCTTAAATGACTCGTACTAAAGAAAGCACAGTCATCTACAACAGTATTTGTACGAATCTATTCCAAGCTGCCATTGTGAATGGAAACATTTTTGAGGACTCCTTTTGTCGCAGGTGCTAAAATGTGAGTTTTTAGTCATGTTGTGTACTACGTCCTACCTTAAAGTCTAGACCTCCATTCTTGCAAATATTCTTCACAATTCTAAGCCTAAAATGTACATTCTTACAGACAACCCTCAATATTCTAAGCCTTAAATGTACATTCTTACAAATAATCCACAAAATTAATAAAAACGGCTGACTTTTAAGCCTTTTGCATTTTCTTTTTCTATGAACATTCAGTGTTAAAAGTTTTCCAAAAACTCATGTAAATGAGTATTACGTTTAACAGTAAGTAAATTTTCTGGGATGCATTTTTTACTGTGGTTCACAGATGTTCCTTTTTATTTACCATACTTCTAAAAAAATTCTTGTAAAAGCCATATTTCAGAAAGAAAAGGTATATTTATAACCAAATAAAATTATCTTGATAAATAGCTCTTGAATATGATGTTATTTAGTCTAACTGATAGTTTAAACATATCTTTTGTTGATCAGCTCATTGAATTATTTTACCCAACTTTTCCCCTCAAGTTAACTCCCAGGTATTTTATTCGACTTATGTATTTCGACTCGGTATTATCTGTTGGGAATAAATAATGCTAAGGCTAAACAGAGTATTTTCTGCACAGGATTCCTCCCAAGGTAACTCTGTCTACCAGATAGAGATGATTCAACACATAAAGAAAAAATATCCTGGGTTGCAAGTGATTGGTGGAAATGGTAAGACTAAAATAAGTGTTTCAAAATTTGTTGTTCAGACCGGTAACATCAGGCCCGGCATGGCCAGGTGGCTAGGGTGCTTGACTCTCAATCTGAGGGTCGCGGGTTTGATTCCCCGTTCCACCAAACATGCTCGCCCTTTCAGCCGTGCGGGCATTATAATGTGGCGGCCAATCCCACTATTCGTTGGTAAAAGAGTAGTCCAAGAGTTGGCGGTGGGTGGTGATGACTAGCAGCCTTCCCTCTAGTCTTACACTGCTAAATTAGGGACGGTTAGCACAGATAGCCCTCGTGTAGCGTTGTGCAAAATTCAACACAAACAAACACACCAGTAACATCATTTCCTGTCTTTTTTTTCTCATCTATTTTTCACACAACTACTGGTAAATTGAGTTCTAAACAACAGATTTCATCAAACTGGGGGATAGCAAAGAACCTCATTGATTTGGGTGTTATAAGGTCGAGGCCATCAGTTCAATAATAGAAATTAGGTTTGTGTGCTAAATAAAGAATAATTGCATAATACACAAAACCAAAACCTATGATATTTGTTGCGATAAAGTATTAAAATATTAAAACATCTTTCCAAAAAAGGGTATTAAAGTAACAAAAGGTTTATGGAAAAGTTTGTTTTACAAGGATATGAAAATAATACTTGTTGAAGAATTGTGTTAAATATGAAAATTAGATCTACAAAGAGTGACCTTTGTGTGAACATATTCTTAAATAGCAGTGATATAAAAATTAAATACTACTAAACATTTTACATTAGACTTGATTAACTTTGTTTGAAGCTTTAGTTTCTTGTTTGTATTTAACATTCATCATATAGTTTAGCATCGTGAAAGAAATCTATTACGGGTTATCTGAAAACAGGAAACGAGGAATAAGACGATGGAAGTTTGTGTTTAAATTTGTGCATCATTCCCGGAAATGATTTAAAATCAATACTACGGTGTATTATAATATATGTTACAATTAAATATCGTAATTTAATTATGTAGTGGTCACAACTGAGCAAGCAAAGAACCTGATCAATGCAGGAGTGGATGGTTTGAGAGTGGGAATGGGTTCTGGATCTATATGTATTACTCAAGAAGGTAAGTCATGAATCAGAACTAATTCGTTAATTATTTTTTAATAACAGAATATAAGTGAACTGTGTAAAACGAACAAGCCAACCATAGTGATTTGCTGCCGAAAACTTCTTTACAATCATCACAAGCACGAGAGCTAGAAAGACAGGTATAGTTAATATAAAGAAAAATTAAAATGATTATGTAGAAGTATAGAATCATTTCTTTCGCTCTCTTACAGCTGTATTAATAGTTACACAGTAATACACAGCCATATTAATAGTTACACAGTAATACACAGCCATATTAATAGTTACACAGTAATACACAGCCATATTAATAGTTACACAGTAATACACAGCTGTATTAATAGTTACACAGTAATACACAGCCATATTAATAGTTACACAGTAATACACAGCTGTATTAATAGTTACACAGTAATACACAGCTGTATTAATAGTTACACAGTAATACACAGCTATATTAATAGTTACACAGTAATACACAGCCGTATTAATAGTTACACAGTAATACACAGCTGTATTAATAGTTACACAGTAATACACAGCTGTATTAATAGTTACACAGTAATACACAGCTGTATTAATAGTTACACAGTAATACACAGCTGTATTAATAGTTACACAGTAATACAAACATTGAAAAAAATCATTCTTTAGAAAATGTAACAGTTGTAAGAGAACTGTATTAAACAAATATAGTTTATCCTGACAGTGTAGTGTCCTGATAACTAGAAAGTGGAACAACATCAAACATTGAAAGAAGATTATAAACAAGTACTAATGTTTATCCTGACAGTGTAGTGTCCTGATAACTAGAGTACTTGTTTATAATCTTCGTTTCAGTGTTTGGTGTTAGGACACTACACTGTCAGGATAAACAAGATAACTAGAGTACTTGTTTATAATCTTCGTTTCAGTGTTTGGTGTTAGGACACTACACTGTCAGGATAAACAAGATAACTAGAGTACTTGTTTATAATCTTCGTTTCAGTGTTTGGT